CGACTATCTGCATCCCACGAAAAATAGCCCCCAGCGATACGTTTGTTGGCATCGAAACAGCCAGTAAAAATTGGGTTTTATAGATGCGGCTTTTAAATGAGACTGTTTATTGTTAAAGTTTCCTAAAACGGAAAAGAGATGGCGCTGGTTGACGTTGACGCAGGGTGCTTTGTTTAGTGGCAACAATATGCTTCCTGCTGATAGGCCGCATTCATTTCCCCAGCTTTGTCTTATATAGGGCGCCTTCGGTGCAGAGAACGTCGGAAAGCGATGTTAATCGGAATAGTTTGAATTTAATGAATTTTTAGTTTCGGATTGAATTGTTAAGTTGTGAATGAAATATGAGCATTTGGTTTTGGTTTGGTTTTGGTGTTTCGAAAATGTGCTTCGATCTCAAACACAAGAAATATTTTGTTTATATTTCAACAATTCTATCTGCGCCAGTTCACGAAGATATTTCAATTTAAGGGTGTGCTAATGTTATTTACTAAAAGGTAGGGTATTTAATTTTTTACCTTCTTTTATACCTACCTATTTGGGTTCTCTTTATAAAACAACATCCGGTGTAAAGAAATAACTAACAAAAATATGATACCATCTAAAATTGTAAGCGAAATTATTACATATTATTATTTGTTGGTTCTACTCCTGATCTTGTGACGCTTACAGGTTTTATAGGCTAGTATTATTATTATTGTTATTATTATATTTTATTAATTATTATTAATTTTATCAATTACGTTAATAAATTTGCACAATTCGGTGTTGTTTTTACACTCCTCAAATGTGAACAGCACAATAACTGCAAGCTTACCAAAGCATTGTAAAACTGAAAGAAAAAAATAGTTCTGTTGTCGGTGGCGATGAATGCCATTTAAGTTAACTTTGTTTCGCAGTGGTGAATATAAAATAAATGCAAAACTGGAGATGTGCATCATTGAAAACCCTTCTAGCCAAGTATTTTCTCTGTATGGGCCCAAATCGCACCAGGAGCAAGAAAGTCAGGAAAGACAAATCGTTGTAAAAGTTAGCAAAACAACATTGAACTCTTAAATGCTTATGCTTAAATGCTAGCAATTGTGACACATGGAAATTTAGAATACAGACGTTGCTAGAAGAAAAGGCGGTATTAAAATGTATAAAAAAGATCAGGATCAGAATTAGGAGTAATAAGAAAAGCGGTTATTAGAAATTGTACACGCTGATGTTGCAGGGGCGATACCACCTATTTCTCATGACCAAATTAGGTATTCAAGTACTGAGGCAGAATTAGTGGCTTTGAGTTTAGCAGTTGAAGATAGTTGTTAAAGAAACTGTTAAGTAACATGCTTGTAAAAGTGATACCGGTAAAACTCTATGAAGATAACCAAGGTTATATTTCATAAATCAAAACTCCTGAAAATAATAGAAGAATTAAAGATCAGATAGCAGACTTATTAGCCAAAGCACTACCGAGAGTTCAATTTTACACAATTTGTAAAGATTTAGGTTTACAATTCAGAGAACGTTGACTGTAATAATTAAGAAAAAGTTTTGCTTTTATTTACTTCATTTTATACGAAAATAATTGAAATTGCAAAGAAAGCATTAAGAGATCGTGTTGTTTAACGAGTAAATATGTAATGCTTTTCTTACACTCCTTAAATGTGAACAGCACAGAATATAAAATACATATAAAACTGGAGATGTGAATAATTGAAAACCTTCCTAGAAAAGTATGTTCTTTGTAAACATAACAATAAAAAAGATTCGGCGTCTACTGATTAATACTGAGTTTTGCATATCAGTCATTAAGCCCTTGACCTAATAAATTGATGCCAGTGCTTTTCACAGGAAAAATGTGGGCGCACTTGATGGACTTTATTATCATTACACATTATTGAAATAAACATACTGTTTAGACGAGATACTTTTTTTAATAGGAACACTTTTTTCTCCCAAAAAAACATTCATTAGAGGATTTTGCTCTCAAGCCAATAATTCGCATAACATGACATCGTTTTCTTTCATGTCACAAACAAACAAAAATTTTCTCCATTTTTTTATATGATACCGACAATTGCAGAAAAAACGAAAATTGTAAAAACCATCACTTCCATACTTTCCAGTCAAAATGAAACTAACTTCAAGAAAAATACCTCCAAATGAGAGACAGCTTGGCAGGATCCATTGTTTTGCATAAACTGTTTGTTTTTGGCTGAAGCTCTATTACCAACCCCATAATTAATTAACTAATTATTAGAAGTACCGCATATTTCCAATGGCGTTTAAATGAAGTTGTTATATTCGGAATTACAATTAACTGCTTTTTAAAATGGAAAATATTTCTTGAGAATTTTTAAACGGAGAAAAAAAAACAAAATCATATACCTCTTAATGCTATACATTCAATCTCAAGGTGGTGACAATTAGAATTAAATGGAGAAATAAAACTAAACTAAAATATGCTTGTTTTTTTAGTTTCGACCGTTTACTTTCCATATCTGTCGGAATTACCCGGCTAGAACAACAAAAATGTTTCAGTAGAGTGTTTTTTAGTTTTTACAGGTATGATTTCATATACGATAGAATATACATAGAAAATATCTATTGCGCGCTTGGAATGACATACGGTAACGCACTAAATAAATCACAGAGCAATTTCGGTTCAACCGGCTGTTGCCTGCAGACGATCATTGTGCCTAATCAACGATTCGGTTATAATTCATTATTATTGATGTTAGTGTCAATTATCGATGTTACCTTTAACTGCGTTATAGGATATGCATTACGTAATTAGCGTTATTTTTGTGTCCACCTGATGGCATTAATTAATATCAGTTTCGCGGAAATTTAATTTCTCGCGGAACCAACGATCAGGAGTGTATTTACAAACCGGATCGCCAGTGATATGCAACAAACTGCCTTGTATAGTATAAACTTGGTTTTCGATTGATTTAATATCTTGTGAGCCCAAAAAATTCGTGAATCAAAACTCACCAAATCAGATAAGAAGATTTAGAAGATTCTGAGATTTTATAAACAAATACACAACAATTTCTACAGTCAAAGAAAAAATTAACGGTATTTATTTATCTATTTACAAAACTATTCAACACGTAAAACCCAGTTACAAAGACCTAAAGCTTGAAAAAAGAGCAAAAATAAACGTAAAACTTAAATCGTACAAAGTTAAGTAGGCTAAATAAATGTGATTTGACTTATTCTAATTCCTAATTCGGTAAAATTAAATTTATTTAAAAGCTTGTCGTGGACACAGCCTTGAAGAGGATAAACCCCGCTTTGTCTACAACTTATGTATTTTAAAAATTTGCTCTGAACATCTTCTAATATCAGAAATATGCACATTATAACCTGGCGAGTAATAACCACAAATTTTATGGTAGAACGCGCTACAAAACCAAGCGATTTCTGTTAATAAAGAGTAAAGCATAGTAAATGTCGCACCCATTTGAAATGAATTGGTTGCGGTTTTTTAATGTATTGCTTTTTTAAATTATAAGATAATTACTTTGGATCTAACCTTCACAAACACCCGCATACAACAAATAATTGATACTCTGAGATTCATCTATATCATTTATAAAAATATGAAAAAGAAGGAGATCCAGGACCGAGCCTTGGGGTACCCCAGATGTGGCTGCATATCCTGCAGATTGGAGGCCAAATCCATTCTATAAAGTTTCGATAACCTGTCGAAAGCCTTGGAAAAATTAAAAATATATTATTTCGTTTTGACAAACTTCGTCAATTGACTTGGTGTTGTAGATGGGTTCTTAAAAAAGTCGAGTTATTGGGGGACAAATTTATTTTTTCTAACCTATTAAATCACTCTAGAAAATCACGTATTATGAAAACCGGTCTGCTATTTCGAAGCAAACTATTTCTATACTTTGAATGCAGTTTTGTTGATAGAAGTCGACAGTCAAACAGTTATACAAAAAATATTTATAACCTGACTACCACTCAAAACTTGATCTCCGAAAACCATGGAGTATTGCAATCTAGTAAACTCCTACTTTCCTTTAACAAAATTGCAGAAACGCCTGGGCTACTTCAAGATACGAGACTCCAAAATATATTGTTTATAAAATAAACCCGTATGCAATTTGATGTCGGTCCGAAGTGTATCCGTTGTTAAAGTTTCTCTGACTTGTAGCTTTTTCTTTAATATTTTTTATAACATTCGATTAAAACCAAGAGGGCCACTTCTTTTTTATTCTACAATATTGGGGTACTGTCAAATCCAGTATAGAATACAGACTATCATAAAAGGTCCCAGTTATTGTAATTTGTAGCCAATTCGCGCTTAGAATTACTCGGAAGACCTTATTTTAAAAGTAATATGAATCCTCCCCGACTATCCTCCGGTACTTTCCACATTAAAATTAGTCTCATTAAGAACGAGATTGTAGTGCGCCCGCGATAGTCGATGGAAGTTCCTGGAACTGTGCGAGTGGGGGTGGGGGGTTAAAACGGTAGCTCTGGAAACGGACGGGTAGTATGGGGTTACGAGGCTAGGAGTCCGGTTCATCGTTTATGTATCCGGACCCGGCAGGCCGCCTCAAAGAGTGTTATTTTGTTTTGATTGTTTGTCGTGGGACAGTATTGGGTTCCCAATACTGCTCCTCTCAAGTGTATCCTTGGTTTTCGCAAATATATGCTGCTTATTACTCCAGAATTCCACGGGATTTTATTATGTGTTTTCACGTAACCGCAGAACAGTATGTGAAGACCGCAACAAGATTTAATATCCTGTGATTTCTAAACAAAAAAAATCGAATAAATTTCAAGATCGTTAAATGATACCGAATGTTAGACCAACCAGCCTATTACCCGTGCTAAGAAAGGTGTTGGAGAAGGTTGTCCATCTGCATGTACTTTCGCATACAACTAGTCGTAATATAATTCCATCAAACCAGTCAGGTTTTCTTACATAGCACGCTTCTAAGATCTAATAATAACAATTTAAACAAAATTGTTTACTTGACTTTTCAAAGGCATGCAGCAGAAACCCTGAGACCTCGAAAACAAAAAGAATATTAGAGACCACGGAAATGAAAACTGTTCGAAGAATAGCGGAAAAAATTCTCATGGATAAGGAAAGAAATGAAGATATTAGGCAAGTGTTCAGGGTAGATAACATCAATGACTGGGTATTGCATATAAAGATAAAATGGAATGAACACATTGATCGTATGGCAGAAGAACGAATAGTGACGAAGGAGCCATAGAAGATATAGGAAAAAGTGGAGCGACAACCTCGCAAATGATGGCAAAGATGTGAAGAAAACAGGCAATCATGCCTATAGGTAGTAGGAAGAAGAAGAAGCACAAAAAATTTTAGAAGTTATTTTTTTCAATTATCTGGCGCATCCTCTATGATGGAGGAAAGCGGAAACTCTATCCACACAATTTACGATATTTCTTAGACCAAATTATCCCAAGATTTATAATTTCTCATTAACAACGGCTATATCATTTATGTCCCAAACATTATAAATGCTTGATTGTGTAGATACTGACGCCGACTGACTCGAGAATAGTTCTTAAGTGTTTCTTTTTACTTAAATGTACGGTGTTAGATTTCTTTACCTTATTAAAATTAAATTAGTTATAACAATTGGTTTTAGTTATTTCGCATTAATCTTAGTATCTACCTTGGTTATTTACCATAATTATGTTTTGTAATATGTAGTAGTATTTCTAAACTATTTTGAATTATACATAATTTTGGCCAGCTGATATCACGTCATAATGCCAAACAGAAACATTAAACGCTTGAAACCTGTCGTGTGTTTTGCTACGAAGTCCATTTATATTCTGGTAGTATACCAATAACGATCCATTTTTCTGTCCAGAAATTATTTTACTAATAGAATTAGAATTGATTTGATTATTAGAGACACCATTTAGTATGAGCGTCTGCATCGACGGAACCAGCTCGTCCGGGATGCTATTTGCTATTGGTTAGTTGCTATTTTAGACCTAAGCCGCCATTGATAAGCGAGACATTTATCAACTTCCCAAGCAACATGGTCGAGTTTTACATTGTTACCGCAGTAGGGTGGGCCAATTTAGACACTTTTAAAGGGAAACCTCCTTAGTAAAGAAGCTAGACGAAAATTAATAGTATAACCTGACATGGATATATGTTTCCGATCCAAAGTTATAGGCTGCATTTTCAAAAAAAAAATCCTATAACTTTTTTGTTATGGAATTTTTTTGTGTTTCTATGAAAGAATTTACACAATTTTTTTTACGCTGAAGAAAACAAAGGAAGATGTTTTTTGTTCTCAAAAATATACCATACTTGGTATTTTTCTCGTGTTTTCTTGGAAAACATAGAAGTTTTGTTCAACCTTTCAAATAAATTTCAAAGAACCAACGGGTAAAATTTTTCTTGGAACAATTTGGACCATTGCACTTTTCCGGTACTGTGTGGCATATTAGTATCTTTTTTTCAAGTTCAAATATATTTAGTACTTACTAAATTTATTAAATTATGCCACAATTTTCAAAAAAAAACTTTTAAAAGTATATTGATTGTAATACAATTGCTTGTTGTCTCTGCATTCTTCTTGACCTTCATAAAACAAACTATAATCTCCCATTTATTTGACAACTCACCAAAACCACCAGCACGCACTTATTATTATAATTGTTCATTAGATTTAAAAATATATTGAAATACATTAAATTCTGTGTAAAAAGTTGCTTTGGAATTGTTTTCATAGAAACACAAAATTCATCATAATAAATACCCTATAATTTTAAAACGATACTAGATGTGCGGTTTTTACCATTAAGTCTTTTATGAAAATTGAGCTCCAGACACCGACAATTTGGCCTCCGCCCTGTACATCGGTCATAGTCTACAAAAACATTGCAGATTCTCATGATACGAACATAAGTAGGTACGCCGATCTAACTGCAAAAAAGCCTGTTTCACTTATCTTTGATTGATTACATGCAAGAATATTAGTTTTATCGAACAAAAATTTTTATGTCCAGTTTCGTGATTGTGTTCGACAACTGCTAATGAGTTTATTTGCCGTTTTTCAAGTTCCCAAAAAAGGTTGTAAACGTGGACAGAGCGCATTGTGAATTTGGTCGTTAACCATCTTTACTACCGGGTCCATAGAAATGTACCTGGAGATAAAGTCATTACACTTCCAGGATAAGCAGCAAGGAAGCTGGCAACATTGGCGGTGTTATGTCTGGAAGTAGTATGCGATGTGTTTTTGCACTAACAGCAAAGCACACGGTTTATGGTTTCTTTCCAAAACACACCGATTTTAGTACCGGCTTATAAATTTTTAATGCACAGCAAAACCGCTACTTTAACCAACTAAATTGTACCCAATACATCAAATAAAAGCCACTTTTACCTAGATTAGCCAAACAATTATCCGGAGCCAAACACCCAAGTTAAAGTTTCCAACAAGAAAAAGAAGCCACTCAAAAAAAGCACGCAATAAACAGTACTCTATTTAAAATTTACCGAAACTAACTGAAGCTAATAAAATACAAAGTCTTTTGGTGGAGCTTGAGATTTTATTTGCAGTTTTGAATATCACAGGAAGTTGAAACATTATAGACTTAGAAAAACTCAAAAAAGAAGCATTCTGCTTAGCTCGTAGACAAGTATATATAGCGTTTTGTTCAAAACTGCTTATTTACCCCATAATGTTAAGTTTTCTCTATTATAAATTTTATTTGAAATAGTAACAAAATAACAGCACTTTATTTACAACAGGTAACATCACCCAATTACAGGAAACATTGGATACTTCAGTAATCTTCTCTGGACCCATAGTCAAGCTTAACAGTGAAATAATAATTTAATAGCAACTAAACAACAAAAATGCCTGCCATTTCTTATTACGAATCCGCGAATTTGCATTCCACTGGAAACCATTTTGTAATGTGAGGTACAGATCCTTTACAGGAGTATGGTTGGACTCCAAGCAGACCTTTTAGGAACACATAAGATCAAGGACCAGGTGGGCCTTTGGAGCTCTGTGGGCGTGCCGGAGAGCGATGGCCTGTGGCCAAAGATAATGCATTGAATGTACGGTGCCATGGTGGTGCCTAGGCTCACGCATGCGGCTCTGCAGAGCTGCACTGCGAGACAACGGGATCGAGCTTGTCGCTCCCTTTGGCTCAGTACTGTTTCAGGCGGAAATTTTCACTATATTGATGGCGGCCAGAGAGGTGCTTCGACTCAACCACAGTAGCAAAAGAGTATTCTTCTGCTCTGACAGTAGGGCTGCAGTTATGGTGCTAAAGTCAGTGCGTACGCGCTCCTTGTTGATAAAGGAGTGCAAAGGGGTACTGAGGAAAATGGCCGAAGTGAGGAATGTCACGTTGGTCTGGGTCCCGGGTCGCACCCCTTAAATACCAATACCAAGATCCTTTACATTGGCAAGTCTAGGCAGGATGGTATCATCCATAGTGTAATTATGGACTATAGGATTTTTTGTGCGGTGGTAAGAATCCACATTACACTTGCTGATGTTACGATGCAATTTATTTTTATTACACCACATAGTGACAATATTGATGTTGGCCTAGAGAGTCATGCAGTCCGGTTTTGATGCAGTGATATAGTTTTAGGTCATCCGCATAGGCAAACTTGTCGCAGATGATCAATAGAAGAAGAATAGAAGAAGATCAATAGAATTGAATAGAAGTGTTCCAAGGTTAGAACCTTGAGGCACACCAAGAATAAGCCCTGATCTAAAGCCCTTATAAGCTTTATAAGAACTAAATATTTCGGTAATTTTCAACTGAATAAGTCTGACCATAAAGCCACTCATACTTATATCTAAAAACAATCTACACATTTCCGTTTCAGTTAGTTTTGGTTAGTTAAATTAAATCTGAACAAAAATACCGGGTCACATACATTGCTTATGATATCAAAGATTATCATCTCCTTTATCGTTATTTTAGCAAAATAAACTTTTTCTTTACTATTCCGGATAATTCACACTACAACAGCAACTACAAGTGCTACTTTTTTGAATTAACAAAAACTGTTCGGGTTCGAGAAACGTGGCGGTCAAATAAATTACCAGAAACACTGAATTAAAAATTTAAAATTTATTTCGTCCAAACAGCAAAGTCACTAACTATTTGCACTATTCACAAGACTAATAATTTATATACTCTTTAAAAGATACAACAAGAAATGTGGAATTTTCAAGCCCTCTTCCCGAGAAGCGGCGCCTTTGACCTCGCGCCGTCCTCAACCTACGTCCGAGTTCTTGGAGCTTAGACGGCCGGGCTCAGACCATTCGGCTCACTCGTCACAATGCGTAAGTAAAAACAAAATAGTTATATATTTAGTTTTGGCTAAAAAGAAACACTTACCTTGGATCACAGAAAAGACTAATTTTCTAATAAAAATTAAGAAGTAAAGAAAATTTAAGTACAAAAATAAGAAAACACCTAAAAATCAGCTTAAAAATTTTACTAACAAAGTGATCCATTGGGAGAAAAAAGCATATATAGAACATTCTTTAAACAATAAAGACAAAAAAATATTTTTGAAAAAAAATTAAATGTGATAAGAAGTACAAAAAACACTAGAAAAAAGATTCCTCACCAACTATCAGATCCAGATTTAAGAAACAAGTCTTTCATTAACTACATTCCAATTTCAAATTCAACATCGCCAATGAGCTACTACTATGAAAACTCTCCTTATCCTCAAGATAAATTTCAGTTTTCTATAGTTTCAGAATCGCAAATTAAAACTAGAGCGGTTGGTCATTATATTAAAGTACATCTGCCATCTTGTAAATATTTGCATCACCCATTCTGTTTTTCCCTCTCTTTGGAAAGTAGCTAATATTGTCCCTCTTCCTAAGATTGACAACGCCCAGTCGTTTAGCAACTTAAGACCCATTTCCATTCTGCCAATATTATCCAACGTGTCCTACAAACTCAAATAACAAATTACTACTCGATTATTCTAAGGCTTTTTCGTCACATTATTCTGCACACTATTTTTAAATACTTAGGTTTTGGGGAGGCATCCGTAAATTTAATTAAAAACTACTTAACAGGGAGAAAGCAAAAGGTGGTCCTGAACTGGGTCGAGTCTGCTTGCTGCTAGACATAAGAAGTGGAGTTCCTCAAGCCTCAATTTTAGCTCCTGCTCTATTTATTATTTTCACAACAAAATTCTTAGATTGTCTCGAGTATTGCAAAGGACAATGCTGAT